AAAGTTAAGTATTTAAACTATAGAAAACAACTCAAATTCTTTAACAGAAAACTTTCAATCTACAGAAGCTTTAGACACAAATGCATACTACTGAAATATGTATGCCTCGAATTCGATAAACATAACGACTATCTGGATTATTAAGCAACGATATAGAAGTTTTAAACAAAATAGCATAGTACTGAAATCCAAATGCCTTGAATTCGATAAACATAACGATTACCTGGTTAATCAGGTAACGATAAAATCTATGCATTCTTGGGCCACTTTCCGGATACGGGTAGAAGCACCACCCTGTATTGTTTTGGATTATAACTACTAGCAAGTAGGGTTTGAACTGCAACACACCACCAGAAGTGAAAATCAATATCAGGGATCTAGCTCTCCACAACTATTATTTCCTGGGCGCTCAGTTGATTCAATAAGTAAGGTGGCTGTGATCAAAACCTTAAGTTAAAAAAGAAAAAATTTAACATTTATGCTTCCATTCAATGTAGAATTGCTCTTTGTCAACTAGATAATGTAACCAAAGAACAGCAGAGGTTTAGATGGACTTCACTTCACACGAAGGAGGAAATTATATCCAAGCATGCAACTTTAATTGGCACTGGTGGAATTCTATCCAATGTGGTGTTTATTACCGCATAATCTCAAAACATGTGTTGAAAACCCTAAGCCCTCACGATAGGTAACTACTTAAAACCACAAAGGACTCGTGTCAAAGTTACACAAGGGTACCTAAACAACCTTCATTGGACTGTAGTGCTTCTGTGGGGTATCCAAATATTATATTGTATCAGTCTGATAATAATCAAATATAAATTGTTTGCGAAGTTATGATCATGTTAAAGATTTTACGCAATCTCGACAGCTCATTCAACAACAAAAATGTTAGCAGATTATAGATCAAAAGAAAACTAAATATAGATTATTTATTAATTTCTTAACTGACCCAACTCTTATTAACTGTCATTCAAGTCTAAATAGAACACAATAGACCACAAAGGACACGGTGTACCATATTCTCTTATATTTGGAAATTAATATTGGATCACATGATTAATAAATATATATTTTTGATAGCAGTATACGCTCTAACGGAAGTGTATACTCAGAAAAAAAATTGAAGGTCAGTACAGAATACAGTTCTTAATAGGGAATTGGAAGAAAACTGAAAGAATATAGTTCGAAACAATTATATATAGATAATCGAATAGATTAATTTATTAATTGAGGATTTAATGATAAGAACAAAATTCTTTATAAGTTTACTCTAATTAAACATGGGAGTCCTAGCTAATGTTACAGTAGATATCCCAATATATTTCGGATAATAGTGTAAAAGTAACAGAGTACTTCAGGCGATCGCAAAGAGTATATGCGAAACAAACATAAATAAGGGACATTTTTGGAACATTTGAATCTAACAATTGTTGATAACTTCCTATATGGAACAGTTAACTACAATTAAGTAAAAGATACAGACATTGCTCACAAGTTCACCTATGAATACTGCTTAGAAAACTTTGAATGTGAAAAATGTATACGATACATTAGCTGTCCAACAAGTATACCCATATTGCAGTTTGGATGCCAAGGAATCATTAGATTAGATTAGACAACCATGTAAGTATAATAACCATGTAATTGATTTAATTTTAATTTTTAATTGTACGCCGTATATGAAGTTAAAGAATCTCAAATTGAAAAAAATTTTATGATTTATTGAAGCACAAAATATTTTAAACGTTTAAAATAAAAGGTATCCTAATCCTGGACCTAATTGAGGTTTGATCTTAAGGTTTCCTTGTTAAGAACTGCAGTAATAATAATCAATTTTAGGTATTACCTTAATGAAGCACAACACGCTAAACCTTGTACGCTACCTTGTACGCATCTTTTTCAGTTATATGAGTGTATTTCACTGGAATTGACTATGCTATCATGGATATTACTCGTAATATTATGTAAATCCTATATGGTATTTTCTATACAGAACGCCACATTATCAGATGCCAATAAACCGGTAGAACTTATGCTATGTATTCAAACTACTTGTTGAAATCAAAAATTTAAAAATCTATGCTGAAACGGAATGATAGAATCGCCATCCTGCTTTTCTAAAGATCACTCTGATTACTTCAACGTATGTGATAAATGAGCCCTAGCTACTTATTCAGAGGCCCCTTAAAATAATTTACAAATTAAAAACTTGTCAGGCGATTCGATATAGACATATTGTTAAATAAAGAAAAAAAAATAATTTAAGCACACATCTATTAAGAATATCGTTGTTTAAGAACTGTGCGGAACTAAAAATGGAATTTTTGGGGTGATGTCTAAAATTATTTTAACATTTTAATTTTAATTAATGTAATAGTATACAATTTTTTTAATAATAATTAAAAATTAGATATCATTATGCCCAGTGTAAAAAAAATCGTTAAATAAGAATATGCATATACATATATATACTATTTTAAATAGCATATATAAATTAACCTTTATTTAATAATATGTAAACATTAATAAAATATACAGGCTTCAATAAACATAACTATAATTTTTTATTTTTATATTACTGTTTACAACTCCTCTCGGTTATAACGAACGGGTTGAGTCGGTCCTTTCAAATATCGTTATATCCGATTTTACCTGTGTATTACTCAGACTGTACTAAAAGGTTACAACTTCTATGATTAGCCACTAATTAAGTTCCAGTGGTCAAATCTTCTAATAGATGTACCGATTTATTTTAGTTAATTTATTTAGATATGTACATTTTTCTTTTGTTTTTTTAAATAAAATTATTTGCGCTGTTTAAAAATTTAACTACTTTTTTTAAAAGGGTTCATTGCTATTCTCAGTGTGTTTTATTAACCTCATATTTATTACTAAGAAAAACCTTCGGCACAGATTTGTAATTTGTTGATTCTTTAATGTGCTTTTGTATGTTTAACAATTTTCTGTGAGGCAATTTTTGCACAATGAAGTTTTAAAGCAGCACATCATTAAAAAAAATCAAAGTAAATACAACTAAAAAAATAAACAAAAACTATTCTGTTTGCCTAACCATGGAAACAAAAAGGAAATTAATGAATTTTGCAAAAGCTCGAAATAAAAAACAGAAACAAAAACAATAATATAAGTAAATAAGGCAAGTAAATATATATCAACAATGCCATTAACAATAACAATAACAATTGAAAGAAGGGCGACTTACCACATTTGCTCAAAAAGCGTAAAACTGTAACAACAACAACAGCGATTCCAATAAGAAAAGCTTAAAGGAGCCTGCAGAAAAAATTCACATACATAAAACGAATTTGTTTTTGTAGTTTTGTTTTCTTAACAATGTCGTCTTATTTTAGAATTTGCAAGATTTTTCTGGTGTTTTTTATTTCCAAATTTTATGAATTATTATGTTTGCAAATGTGTATTTAATATTTTTTCATGCACTTAAATTTTAATTGTAGTAACTATTGTAAACACTCTTGGAACTTGAATTTTTTTGTTATACATAATAATGTATATGCACTTAACATTTAAAGTTCGCAGGCGCGACTGCGTGTTCAACAAAAAACCGTTCGCGAAATTATTCACTTAATGTTAGTTTAAATTTTAAAACAATATATAAAATGGAATAAAAGTATGTTACAAATATTCTTTTTATATTTATATTGTGATATAAAATTATTTGTTTACATCAAACAATTTTTTAAATAAAAGTCAAATATATTTAACCGCAAAGCTCGCCGAATACCAAACATACAAGAAAACAGACAAATTCAAACTAACCATTCGGCAGAACAAAATGCACTTGCTAAGCAACTAGTAACACCGAAACAGTGTTGCCATCATTTGAATATAAACAAAGTAAGGGAAATTTTATGGGAATTTATTCCTGTTGTGACTACAACAAAAAAACAATTTCAAATGCAATATAATATACACTACTTATGCTTAAAATCACTATAAAGACTGCCAAATATGTCATAACATTTTGAGATTTATATCATGAGATTTTATAGTTCTCACGTTTTGAGATCATAAAAAAATAATTATCCATTTAGGAAAAACTTGTTTTGTTCAATAAGTCTATATGCTAGAACAATGTTTTTGTAGACCAGAAAAGCATTTAGGCTGTGTGCGAGTTCGAGTAATTTATAAAATTTTTGCAATGGTAATACCTAATTTAGCTAATTTTTACCTAATTTATCGTACTCGAAATTCTGGTAAATACCAACAAAATTTATTATTTTCCTTAATTTGCTATCAATTTACTCGAACGCGCAAACGTCCGTAATGTGTTTTGTAATGACTAGTGTTAGGCTAAGTTGATGCTAAACCAAATGGATGATTTTTTGGGATTTTTTTGCACTGCACACATTTAGACATTTATCAACACGTATCGACACATCACTATATTATCGGCACAACTTAGAATTTCCCTCATTTAGAACGCAACTTAGCCTAACTCGCACACGTCCTAAGTTCAGATTTCACAATTATAATTTAACATCATGTTTCCACTGTACACATTGAGGCAATTTTGCTCAGTAAAGCCGCTAGTGAGAATAATTTACCATATAAAGTATTTTCATGTAAATAAGCTCATTATAACTAAATCAACTGATTTAAGGCGGATAATGTCGAATGCAATCTTCAAAAAAAATTTTCCACAAATTTTAATAAAGTTGAAATTTTGTCAAATGTTTAATATATAAAATGTGAACAAATAAGCTATTTCACAACATAAATGGAAACATAATATAAATAAGAAAATTTATAACAAATTCATAAACATGGTGAGCGACAAACGTTTGTATATAAATAGTTTTTTTTTAAATATTATGTTGTAGAGTTACCAAATACCGACTTAGCGAATAACAAGTTAGCAAGGAAATAATGTCAGATAAAATTTTCATTATATTATAACATTGTTAGTAAAATTTTTTCTTATTTTTATCTTTATTTTCATTCAACTTAATATTAAAAATTTTGACATAAAAAAAATTACAGAACTGTGCTTACGATTTAATAGATTACCATTTTAACGAATGAAGAATTTAGTGTGAGTACTATAAACATATAAACTTTAGTTATATAATAAAAATATCGTTTTATCTTTCAAGTATATTGTTTTTAATATTACCTCTTTGACGATAACTATAAGAGTAGTTCATATATTGGAAACTGATAATTAAAACAATTAATGATATTTTCCTAAGATCTTACAGGTCTTTCGAAAAAGACTGTCTAATATTTTTCATCTAAGTTTTATATCACGTCAAAAATTAAATGCAGTCTTTCCTAGTTTTTTATCACTGCTCTAACTGGTCGAGGGCAAAAGCACACCAATGATTATTGGTTCCTTGAAACTTCTCGAAACTAATAGTATATATAAAATTTTTTTTGTGTGCACCCTAATTAACATATTTGTTTTGCAATTATTAACTTAGATAATAAAATAAATAAAAATGTCTTTAATTATCTGTCGTAGTGGTTTTCGGTGCTATTCAACGTAGCGGTATTCGTTGCCTATACGATATAATACTTACGTTAGATTATTATACTTTAAAGGGTAAACATTTAATTTCAGAAATATCATATTAACATAGTATCCTCATGAACTTATGAATATGAACAAAAATATTTAAATTTTTATTTACGTTTTATCGATTATTTTCGATTTCATCGCTATTGTCATCTCTACTACGCGGGCATTAATGCTTGGGTGGCACAGCTGATTTAAAAATACACGCATTTGGTTAGGTTTCAAAAACTAAATAATGAGTCAATTTGAAAAGAAAGAAATTATTCAAGCAATTCTAATAGCTGACAACAATGTGGAGCAATTTCATCCGTTCTCAAGCGAGAATTCTACAGTAAGTACTTAATAAATTAAATAACTTCTTAATATATATTTCATCATACATTTCAGGCGCTGCTTCCGTTGGTAAATGTGTCTATGATTGATTATGCTCTGGAAGCACTAAACAGAAGCGGTATAGAAGAAGTGTTTGTTTATTCTAGTTTGTATTTACAAAATGTGCGAGATCACATAAAGTACGTAATTTGCTTTATTTAATATCTACACAATTACAACAATTAAAATTATTCCACATTTAGACGAGGAATTGCAACACTCAGCTCTTGGTCAATTAGCATGAGTGTACAAGTTATTGGTGGTGAGGGTTGCCGTTGTTTTGGCGATGCTATGCGTGACTTAGATGCCAAAGCTTTAATTAGAGGCAATTTTATTCTACTTGGCGCCGATACAGTGACAAACGTAGATTTAAGACCAATAATCGAACAACACAAGTAAACTTTGTTTATTTTATATTTATAAATATATAAAAACAAACCATATTGATTTTAGAAAAACTGTTAAATATGACAAGGGTGCTGCAGCGACACTTGTCTTTAAGGAATCATCGACTAATTTGCGTACTGGTAATGAAATCATGATTGCTATGGATGTACAAAACAACCGACTACACCATCATCAACGTTTGCGTCAAGAAAATAAGGAGCGACAATTTGAGGTGCCATTAGAAGTTTTTATTAACAACTCACAAGTTGCTTTATTGCATGATTTACTTGATCCACAAATCGCAATTGGTTCACCAACACTATTGTCGCTTTTCAGTGACAATTTTGATTTTCTAACGCGAGATGATTTTGTACGTGGCATCCTTATTAACGAGGAAATATTAGATAGCCGAATTTATGTGTCTCTACTTGCACGTGATCAGTATGCACGTAAAGTTAATAATTGGCTAAGCTATCAAATTGTTAGTCAGGATATTATTAATCGTTGGGCTTATCCTCTTGTACCAGATATGGGTATACACTGTCTTTCTCAACAGTATCTATTCTTGACAAACAACATATATAAAAGTTCTAATGTAAGCATAACGAAAGCAACATTGTCCGATAATGTTGTGGTACAATCAGGAAGCATTATTGAAGCAGGCGCTTCATTGAAATGTAGTGTAGTTGGTGTTAATTGCAAGATTGGACAAAACTGTAACCTTACGCATGCTTATTTAATGGAAAATGTTACTATTGAAGATGGTTGCACTTTAACGTATTGTTTTATTGGATCTGGAACAATTGTAAAAAATAAGTCACATATAACAGATGGAACTGTGATTGGAAAGGACTGTATAATTCCTGCTAACTCAAAACTTGTAAAAGCTAAAGTAGTGGCAATTGAAAATGAAGAAGGTAATAAATAAATTTTTAACAAAAATTTAATGCATTTTATTTTGTTAACAATTTTTTATATTTACTTAGATACAACTATATCGAAACTTGGCGACAAAGCTTTTATTATTGATGATATACACCAAGAATCAAATGCCAATTGCTCGGATTCTGAGGATGAAGATATTTTACCACAACTTTACGGTACAGCTAAAATGGCAAAATTACCTTTAGTTTATGCAGAAAGCGATTATACGTCCAGCAGCGAAGAGGAGGAATCGCAGCGTGGTTCACCTTTACCTGATGATACAAATAGTAAACAATCCAATTATTTACTTGTCATATACATTTTGTTAATCATTATCGCCATTGGCATACAGTATTTTTATCGGAAGTGATGGATTCATTGGCCAGAGGATTTCAAGAAAAATCAAATCCTGATTTTTTAATATTGGAAATAAATTCATCGAGATACGCCTACAATATGTCGCTTAAAGAAGTTAATTTCTATGTAGTGAAAGCCATTTTCAGTTTGCAGTCAATAAAGGAGCCAACAAATAAAAATATACTTATAGAAATTAATAATGTCCTAAAACAGTTGGGTCCGGTAATGTCAAATTATATTAAAACCGAAGACGCTATGCTTGAATGTCTAAAAGCATTACAGGTAAAATCTAAACACTCGAAATATTTGTTTAAATAAAATTTTTGGTCAAAATATTATATATTTTTTAAAAGTATAAATTTAGTTTATCGTGGAATACTTAATTGAAGAAAGTAAGATTATTTAATATAAAAATTTTTATTCATTTACAGCAAGAAAGTTTTGCTCTATTAAATATAATTTTGGATTTTTATATTTATATATTTTGACCATAAATATTTATTATTAACGAATTTATATTAATTTTATTTTTTAGGATATTTGTGACGAAAATTTGCATGTAAGAGAAAAAATTTCACAAGTTGTACATTTTTTATATGATAAAGACTTTGTTACTGAAAATGCAATTGTTACATGGTACGAGGACATAAACGACGATGAAAACTTGAATCTTAAAAAGAGTCTATCTAAACTAATACAATGGCTCAATCAATCCAGCGATGAAGATGAAAGCGATGATTAATTTTAAATAAAACAATTAATTAATTTATTTTTGTATCGAACAAAGAACTAAATAAATTTAATTTATATTAAAATTATATAAATTAAAACAATGTGTGTTGGAATATTTTATATTTAGAATTTATTTATTTTTTATAATTTATTTAAAATTATATCTAATAATGACAAAATATTTTCGAATAATAATTTTGTTTTTTAACGGGCAATGATTAAATAATGCAGCCATCCGGATGATGACTATAAAATATAGTCGAAATATTGGTTTAAATAAAACCTTTTAAACAATAAAATATTTTTTAAAAAGTGTATTATTGAACTATTGACCAATTAACCCGTTAAAAGACAAAATTATAATATCTAAAAACAAATTCAATATTTTAAATGTAAGGTACTCAAAACAAAGTACCTATATAAAGGTATTGGAATACTAATAAATTGGCATTGTGCCTGGATTTAATGTGTTAACTTACATATATCGATGCTGCTGTGTATAGCACAACTTGATCGTATGTGCTTATCACACACAGATAAATTTGATAAAGGTTTTCGGTTTTCTGTTTTCGATGTTAGATAATGGACTACAACTCATCCATCCAATCGTTCGTATTTTTTAGATACATACAAGTTAAGTATTCGTATTCGTAATTAAAATTTTTTAACACATATAGCAAGGAAGCTAACAGTAGTAACTGGAATGTAAGTGTATCTACGAATAGGAAATCAAAATAAATGTTTAGCAAAACTTGTTACAAAGTGAGGTTCCCTTTTTTTATAGCTTTGGTAACCAAAAAAGAAAATTGTTTCATTTGAAGCAAATATTTACGATGAAAATTTTTCATATAATGATATACTCTGAAAAAAGTACTGTATTTTACGTACAAGAGGCATGATTAGGCAGTACTAACTTAATAATGCAACTCAATCGAAGTGTCACAGTTAATAGTGACTGGAACAGTGCCATAAATAATAATTTAATAATCCTATTTCTACGTAAATATGTTCTGAACCACTTATAGTTTTTTTTACGATAAGAATATGCCATGTGTATATTGGCTTTAGAAATAGATTTGAGGAGTGACATCCTTGTTGTTGTCGCTGCTGAAAGTAATACCAAACTGAATGCTAACCACTTAAAGTGTACAACAGAAGTGGTGCAATAGGATAGGAATGGCAATGTGATGGGGCGTGGGTAAAACGATAGGTAAAATAAGCGTCCTAGATCGTGTGATTTACCATTGACCGTCAATTTTTGTGAAGTATTTGAAGTCATTGGTCTATGTGAATAAGTCAAAGATGATTCCAAAGTTAGAAACAATCATCGAGTAAAGTATTTGTAAGATACAAACTTAAATAGTAGTTCGTTCCAAAAACAAACGGTTTATGTCCAAGAGCCACTCGTTAATCTTTACGACTAAGTGCCGTTCATCAACCCTCTAAGAGATTTTACAAGTAATTGCTCAAATCGCGGTTATTTCCTTGCTTTCATAAAAAGTTCTACTATATATTAGTTATTTTTATTAAAATTTTTATTTATCCAAAAAATTATACAATTTTACAATAGATTTTTTGTAGTTAATTTAAATTCTCATTTATTATTACAGTTCTATTATATCATTTCTTTCTGTTTACAGGAAAAGAAAAAATTAATTGTTTATTTTTCATATTAATTCATTTAACATATTACCATAAAAGACAATTTGAATATTTTTAATATTTCTATATTTTAACAAGTAATTATTAATTATCTCTAATAAAGGTATATAATTGTATTAAAGAGTTATATGGATGCAGCTATTTTAAATTCAGGCGTGAAATGTCAAGATTGTTTTGGAACGTTTCCTATATGTTGTGAGGGTAAATCTATTAACTAAATATATATTTAAAAATTCATTGTCATATAATTTTAATAATCTAATATAATATAATTTTATATATAATTTTTTTTATATTATTATATTTGAAAAATTTAACTCATCATATTTGATATTATCCTAAAGCATTATAATTTTTATTTTATTAAGTATGATTATATATTATTTACAATATTTTTGTGTAATGAAAATCCATAAAAATTAAAACATGTTAAAGTGTTCGATATATTATAAAGATTAGATTAATATTTCCAACATTTCGAATTTGGTTTTTGTTCACATCGATGGCGAAATAATAAAATAATAACATTAGGTTTGAATTTTTATATATATAGATAAATTGTTCATATATGTTGTTAGATAAAGTTTATAGTCAGTATAAATCAAAACCAGTGAACCTTCAGAAATTATAATTATTATATATTATTTTAGTAGCCATATTGTAGTAACATTTGATCTATGCTTTACCAAAAATAACAGATTATATATATATTAATTGTTGATTACTTTTATATTATTTCATTATTTCGTATATTTTATTATTATATTCTTAATTACATGTATTTGATATTAAACATATTATTATATTATATGTTATAGTAAATTATACTATAAAGTGTATTGTATTGTCGAAGAAATTATATTAAATATAATATACAATTATATATTACATATATAATTCCAAAATCAATTTATTATATACTGTGCATAAATGTTCATATTATATATAAATATAGAATGTATATATGAGATATATATATACATAATATATACATGTATAATTACATTTTATATATTTGTAAATTACATTATTTATTTATTTTAAAGCAAATAACATATAGCTCTTCTTTACATGAAATAATCTTTGTAATCCTTCCAAGGGAAATATATTATATTGTATATAAGAAATGAATTGTAATTATTTATATTAGATGACCTATATATTTTTTTTGTATTTTAATTGCTAATTCATACTTCATTCATTTATTCTATATATATGCAGTAAATAATCGGTAGACGAACAAAACTTATTTAATTAAAAATTGGAGTCAGCGAATAAAAAAGGCATTGACAAAGCACTTCATTTATATTTATAATTTGTTTATATATATATATATATTAATATATGTCCAATATACATTTTTACAAAATGAAAAAATATTAGTAAAATATAATAATAATAACAATAAGAAAATATATATTTAATTGCTATTGTTATTATTAGCCAACATTATACTTTGTCCAATTCCTAATCGTATATGGTGTAAATGTATTTTGATATGCTTTTGAAATGTGTCCACATTGATATCTTCAATGGACGATTTTACTTCCTCAATGCAACCTTCCATTATTTTGCTAACCTGGTTGGATTTGCCATCAGCGCCAAGATGAGAAGCAACCAACAAAACAGTAGACAAGTTTTCAATTAGAGTTAAAATTCGTTTATTCTTCAGGATGCCCTGATTGTTCTTTTGTACTGCAAGCTGAGCAGCTTCACGGCATTTTTCCCGTAAGTAAGATGGAGCGAGCATTGCCTGAACTTGCGGGTCCCGCGTTAATTCTGCAGTATATGCTTGTACGTCATTTAGATAATCCTGTATATCTCGATTTAATTTTTCCATAGATATTACGATGGAAGCATAACGTCGTTGAAATTCTTCACTGACTTGCAGAGATGGTTCGGGAAGTTGTTGAGAATCATCAGATAAAGCATTATTATTTATTGGCATTTCTTGTGATATATTAATTTCAGCTTCATTATTCATATTACATAGACGTTGCAGTTTTGTGCGTTTAATTGCAAGTGCACGCTTAAGACGTACTATTGTCTCGAGCAATTTAGCTGGATAACCATTAATACGTTCTCGACCAAATATTTCCGTTTTAAAGGGACTTTCTATTATTTCTTGTGCTAATAGAGGATCACTTTTATTAAGATTCATACTATCGCGTCCGTTACGCATATTTTTTAAAGGTGTCATATTGTTAGCGGCAGAATTTGTTAATACAGTTGAGAGATTTGGTCGGAAATCTTTAGCAATGCTTTGTAGCGGTAACATTTCAAAAAAGTTGTCCGAAGCTATCTCATAATCCGGTATAGAATGTGTTCCTAATCCAGCACGATCGAAGGTTATACGATATAATGATGACAATGAATCGAATGCATCAACCATTCCGCTAAAAATGCCATCTTGTGGCACACGTAGACGTGCAGTTACTCTCGTACCTATTGGTAGGGGAAGCGGTATCTTATGCGGTAGATCACGTACATACTGCATATCTTTTATATCTCCACCTCTACGTGATTGTAAGTAACGTATTTTTTGACGCTTACGTTCCAACTCTCTGCGTTCCTCATCGAGAAATGCCTGTGAACAACGCCGAGGTTTGCCAAGCATTGATCGAATTTTTCTCCACTCAATAAGGTTAAGATTTCTAGTTTGTAGACCAGGAAAATGTTCATTTAAACAAACTTGAAATTCATTTTCATTAAGAAGTAATTGTTTATCAAGAAATGAATAAAACCATTCATAAAAAACCCATTTATGTGCTTTAGGCAGTTTGAGTAAATTACGTAAACGAATACCAAGAAGATGGCCAAGCTTTTTATCAGAGTCATTCTCTTCCTCTATTGTGGCACTTTTCGGTAGCGCCACCTCCTTAGATGGTTTTAATGGCCAAAATAGAGAATTGGATATATAACTGACTTTTGAACTTGTTGGTGAATCATCTAATTTTTTCTTTTTCTCACTTAGTCGCAAGTAGCTTGTAGGCATGGATTTTCGTTTTCTTAAAACTTTAGAAGAAGGAGTTCTTGCTGGAGAAATATTTGTTGCTTTTACTGGTGTTTTTCTTGGAGACAAACTCATTCGTAATGGTTTATCATCATTAATGATGTTATCATCAAAGAATAAACGATTACGTTTACGTATTCTTGCTGGCATCCCACGTGCGTTAAGCATTTGAATTGGTAATGCTGACTGCATCTTTGGTTTTGGTGGTTCTGTACCAACCCTTTGTAAACCAAGTGTTGCTAAGCTGAATGATGGTGGCTCTATGTGTTCATCATCAGAAAACGATGGAGTGATATTTCTTTTATTTTTTTTTCTTGGAGTGTCCGAATATGCTGACATTGTAAATAGATGTTGATAAATAACTGCGAAATAAATAAAAAAAATATTTATATTATATACAAATCTATAATAATTCTGACAATATTTACTAATGGTAAACATATTAAGTAAAACATAAATTATTGTTTAACTTGTTAAATTTTTTATATTTCAACAAGTAATATAATATACATTCACATTTCAAATCGTAATCATATCTTATAAATATATTTAAAAATAATTTGAATTGGCAATTAGTGTGATTGGACTTGATTCCGCTCTTCAAGGAGAGGTTTTGAAATTGATTAGACGAAGTTCCTAGCTTGTTTAATCTTAGTGTAGAAGACAGTGCTGAAATATAAGCAGGTGTGGACCTTCTTAATCTTCCTCATACTCACATTAACAGTAATAGTCTTTTAGAATAATTTCTTCACCGACAATGAACCGTCAGCAAACCTACTTTAAAACTGATATATTAATGATGCATCTCAATGAGATTGCTAGATTTTTAATTATTTAAGATAAATCAGCTTTCAGACGACTGCATATTGTTGATCCTTCCCATCATGTAGTTTCAACAATGATTTGTATTAATTTCCATAAATTCGACATATTTTTGGCATAGTATAATATTTTCCAAATATCTCGGAAATATATGTTAATACAATATATTAAATCGATTTACATTCTAACTGTTCTCTAAGGTTTACTAATAAATATATACATTATGGAAGCTTATGAATTAATGCGCCTGATGAAATTTATCTCCAATATAAAATATAAGAATATAATACCATTTATCAACCGCCAGAAGTGATACACTGCCGATTTAACATTACTTCAGCAAGAATAACTATACCGCCATCAAAACAAAGCAACTAACTATCATGTTATAATGAGGCGATATACATCTCAGTAGTTTAAGTCATTAGATCCACTTAATTTATCGTCCAGAACAATATTCAACTACGTCCATTGTTTTAATAAGTGTAGACAGATCATTGACTTCTAATTAAAAATTAGATAAATTGTGTCCATCTTAAAACATAACAAAATGTTTAATCTTAGTGTCAAGGACATAATTCCAATATTATCGATTGGAACTTCAACTTAGCTAAATCGGCTAAGTTTATTAACACTTAAACCTGCTAAGAAAAGTTTATGCATGTCAATATTTTTATTTTGACTCATGGCTTAAATATTAGTTACCCTCTTCAGTAAGAATAACGTCCAAATTATTTAAACGAAAAAAATAATGATTGCAGCCTTCATACCAATATTAAAAAGGAACAGAAAAACCTATCGACTGGTAGATCACCTGTAATTAACCAATTTAATATACTCAATAAATGACGAGAACCAGCTTTGATTAATCAGTTTTACTGCAATTACTAAATAGTAAAAGAATAACAGCTTCTGATAACTTTAGTGGTTTCAAATATGCAAACCTATAAAATTTACTCAATTAAACATCACAATGTCGATCAGTCAGATCTTATGTAGATGGAAAATAGGATGTTCAAATAGCTTCATCTACGCCCTCATTAGACCCACTTCAAAATCCTATAATTACTTCAAAAAAAGAGCCATAAACATAAAAACACTCGAACAGGGTGTTAATAGTGGCAGATGCGAAAAAATTATTAAGATATTAAAGATTAAGATTGAGAGTGAGCGTGAGTATGGAGAATATGGAAAGGTAAGATTAAAATGTAATCTGTGCCAAAGTTCTAAAATTTTGTGACAGAGGAAGTCAGAAATCAATTGTATATAACGTAATATGCATAGTGGAGTAATGGAACAGATAAACAACGACAATGCAGTATGGGTATAGATCACAAACAGTTAGGTTTACAGGTATAAATGTAATTGATCATATTACTTACTTACAGTTTCTTTTTTAACAATTTTTTTTTAATTATTTAAATATAAACTTAAAGATTTTACGAAACAATATATAGGTATTGTAGTAGTTATTACTTTAACCTTATTTTCTACTAGAAAATACGACAGAATTTCCAAATTGTAGTAAATTGATGTTTTCTATTGTAGATTTTATAATATTTTTAAATAAAAATAGTAGTCTCTTAAGAAGAATTATAAAACTATTTGTTGTCAAATAGTTTTATAATTATTAAATAAAAAAATATCAACAATATACTCGTACATATAATATAATGACTATATAAATATAAATAAATAAATATAGAATTCTAAATAAAATTTTAATTTAAAATGTGATAATTTCATTATATATATAATTTCATTATATATATATATTTCATTATATATATAATTTCATTATATATATAATTTCATTATATATATAATTTCATTATATATATAATTTCATTATATATATAATTTCATTAACAAAATTTTATTATTTATTTTATACCATATTTAATTCTTATTTTACATAAAATAATAATTAATAATAGTCATATTATAAAAAAAATAATTGTGTATATAACAAAATTTAATTCTATAATAAGATTATATGAATTTATTAATAAACTTCTACACTTAATATTTAACACAGTTCAATTCTATATTAATTTATTGATAGAATTCTATGTACAATATAAGTGTATATATAGCATAATTGTTGAAGTTCAAAGTCTAAATTGTTGATGTCTATATACATATTATATAGCCCACTATTTAATGCTAATTTTCTACCAATAATAACGTAAAGAGGATATACAGAACTGAAAAAAAGGATTACTTTGGAACAACTGCTCTCTGTTGTGATAAACCGGTTTAAACTGTTTGGATGTTCCACAATTTGAAAACTTAGAGGATGTCTTAGAAATGAAGCTTTGATTACTAGTTATATTCACACAAAGCGTGGTCATTCTCTAAGTAGCCCACAACAAATCTATATAGAGGTTTGCTCCATTTGGTATTACTGAGTCAGTTTAACCTACCGCTACCTAATTTAATAAAAAAAAAATTATACATATAATGTTATACATATTTAATTCTATATAAATTTATCAGTAAAATTTTGCACCTAATTTTAATATAATTTAGTGCCAATTTATTAATAACATTTACATTATATTAATAGTATATATAACGTTAATTAATTCTAAAACAAAAATATATTAATTTTTTAATATAATTCTGCATATATATTAGTATGCACAATATAATTTAATTCAAAATTTAATTAAATAATTAAAGTTATAAAGTTAAATTATGCAAATACATAATAATAAAAAAAATTTATTAAATATTCGTAGTATTAATAAAAAAAAACAAATATGAGACAAACCGTCGTAGTTGTTCAATATTTTTGAATAAAATTAATACTTTATTGAGGGACAAAAAGTAAGCAGCACAATACAATTTTGTTAAGTTTATATAATTTAATTTTTAAATATTAATATTAAGACAGTAAATAGTAGTTGCGTTTCGTATTAAAGGAATTTTTCGTTTCATTTATTTATTATTGACTTGAATCATATTTAAATATATATTAAAATTTGAATATTAATATAATAATATTCTTAAATGTTAACACAGTAAAATATTTAAAATAATAAAAACAAATTTTATTTATATAACAGTATCATGTATAACAAATATCAATAATAATAATAATAACAGGATTTTCTCTTATAATTACAATAATTATAATAATTTATTTATTTATTTGTTTGTTTGTTTTAGTGTTTTTGTATTCTCTATCTCTCTTATTTTTGTTTATAATTTAATTAAAATACATTATACATTCACATTATATATTGTTTTTCTATTTGTTTAGTTTTCAACTTATGCAAATATATAGTTTACTCATAAGTTTATATATATATATATATGTATAAATATAATTTAATACCGTTAACACTTCTTCTAGCTTGAGCTACCCTAGTACAACTATAACAGACAGTCACTACATTTGTCTAAACATTAAAACGTGTTTCCGATCCATCGGCTAGTAATAAAGTCACCGTACGATTGTTAATCCAGACCAATTTAGCTAAACGCATTGGATTCAAACGTGCTACATCGGGAATAGGTGCAGTCGAGTAACCTTTGGTGCAACGTGTCTGTGATTGTCCCAATCCAAACATGCCAGTGCTTGTTTGCCAAAATGAAAGACGATTTTCACTGCATGAATATGAGACCAGACATTTACCGTCAGGTGAAAATGCTAAGGAAGTAATGGGATGCGTATGTGCTGGAATCATTTGACACTTATTTTGACGCAATTCATAGATGGCCAAATTACCATTATTAGCACCAACCGCAATGCGACGAGTTTGTGCGCAATGTGATATCTGATTGAATTTGCAAATAGAGGGGCAGACCTCTGCCAAACCGCGGCTTTTCAATTCATTATTATCCACGCAATGTAATGTTATATCCATCACTTCTACAAGTAAAGACGCGATTTCGGCTTGCATTTTATCTATTAGCATTTCAACGCACTGTAATATTTCGGATTTTGCTCTATATAACACAGATTGTGTTAGTGGCACATTCACTGCTTGTGTATTTTGTTGCATTGTGTTATAGCGTGCAACTTCCCGTGCCATTGTTGTAATAAATGCAGCTGGCCTTGCTGTTGCAATTAGTCGGAGCGCATGACGTGCAGTACGACAGGCATCCGCTTGTGGAGTGAGTGGTAATTTGTAGTTTAAGTTCGGCACAAATTTACCGTCGCAGGATATCTCCAATAAACCTAGCAATACTTTACTAACATCAAGATAAGGCTCCCATACTGTAAAACCACGTCCCAATAAGTCTATTGCTGCTCGACGTAAAGGTGTATATTGCGGAAGTTTTGCTGAAGGTGGTGCATAGAGTAAATGTGCTAGTGCCATTGAAGTTAGACGTGCTAAATTGTTTGCAATACCAAACGATTCCACAACAGATGATTTACGTCGCTCATTGGTAATACGTTGATGACTAGGAGAATCTTGCGATATATCTTGTCCAAATTCGGCACCTATAACTCCTAACAGTATAACAGCTGTTGTTTGTTTTCTTTTTAATTCAGATAAACTCGAAGGTTTACGAATAATTTCTTCTTCCTCTTCTTCGTAATCCTCCTCTTGATTTTCGCCATTTGTAGCAACACCATTTCCGGTACTATTTTGACCATTAGTACTATTAACATTTTGTGCTGGATTTGCATTCTGTTGCTGTACTATAGGTTCTGAATGCGTATATAGTGGTAAATACTGCGCCCAACTTTCAACAAGTTGCTTACGTCCACGTGGTCCAAGCCGCCTTAATTCACCTAGAAGAATTTGTTGTGCAGCTTCACGAATTTCAATGCAATGATGTTGCCAACGTTTGGCCATCATTTCCACTTGAGGACGTTTAAATTTCTTTGGTTCTAATGCTTCAATTTTTTCAGGTAATTGAAAACAGTGATGAGTTGATAGATCACTCCAACCCTGTTTTATTTGTGAGGTATGCTGAGCAATTAGTTCTTCTCGCTCTTCTTCAGTAGCTAAACTTGAATCAGTACGTTGAGCTAGACGTTGCAGTTTTTTAGCTTTCTCGCTATCAGTTAAGAATGTAGCGGAACTCATTGACATTAGCGTATTTGACATAGCCACTAAAGCTAAGATATGATTTGAAGTTAATGTTGTACTTAATTCCCAATGTAAGAGTGATGTAAATATCGAGGTTAATTGTTCTTGCCTCAATAGATCAGCACGTATATCACGTTTTTTTGAACTGCTTGGTATTGGTAAACCCTCTGGAATTTCATAATTATTTTGCCACGTTGGTAGTAGTAATGACATATAACCGCCTTTTGAAAGCACACCAAATGATATTGGTACCATTGGTCGTAATAAACCTAATTGCGACTCACACACCTTGTCTAAATGACTATCTAGACCCCAGGAATGCAATAATGACAACAATAACTGAGCAACTTCCATAACGTGCGTAACTTCCAATTTTGATGCAATTTTACTTTTAAGATCTTCCTTTTCTTCTTGAGTTTCCACTGCTTTCTGTATACTTTCCACTTTTGCTTGAACTTTCTTTTCCACAATTTCAGTTTTTTCTTTAAATTTTTGTACAATTCCATGTTTATCTTTATCTTTTAGAATTTTTTCCATATCTCCGGCTTTGTTTTTCACTATGCCAAAAAAGTCACTTATCTTCTTGGAAGCATCTAAGTGAGCTGCTTTATCCTTAGGATTCGCCAATACAACTCCAAGAGCTTCTAAATCAGCGGGTGTCATTTTAGCATATTCCTCACTATGTAATTCAAATATAAGACCTTCGATATCAAAAAATAATATATGACTTTCAGCATCTTTGGGATTTGTACGTAAACCTTGTATAGTTAGCGGATTACTTCGATGTTTCATTAAGAAATCAAAATTTCCTTGATTATGTCCTTGTAATTGTTGCAATTGATGTATACCTCTTTGCGTAGCATGTCGTATAGCATTCATATTACGTGATTTAATGCCACGAAA